TGCATACAAATGCGACTTACAGCGTTTAAAAGTGTGAATCTTTACCTTTAATTCGCGTACTCGATGAGCATTGTGCGATTTTTTTTTCACCGGGTTATTCAACATTGAAGTGAAAAGGGCCATTCTTGCTTCCATATTTAATAACTCGTTGAAAAAAAATCGCACAATGCTGATCGAGCACGCAAATTAAAGGTCAAGATTCACCCTTTCAAATGCTGCAAGTCGCATTTGTATGCGATTTTTATTGCACTTCATGGAACTTCGCAAACTTAGTACAAAATTTTTAGATTTGATGCATCTCTATTTGCATTCGTGCAGCTTTGTAAAGAATCAGTAAGTCATTTAATGAATTATGGATTTCGAAAGTAGAAACTTGCTGTAAAATGACAAGCTGTAAAATGCTTTTTGAATCATTCTATTACGATCATTTTTGACGAAGTTACACTTTTTTGTAATTTGCCTATTTTTAGCGATTAGAATAGGTGATCCTTTAATTTTGGGGAGGAGTGTATTAGCTCTCAAAAACTAAAAAGATACATTGTCCACAAATAAGTAATTAAATCTCTGATTTTACTAAAATCTAAGAACGTTAACTGTTAAATACAGCAGATAAGTTGAAATTGCAGTTTGCATTGAACGCGCTGCACTTAAATAAATGTAGTGCTCAGAAACATTACAAATTAAAACAGTAATCGATTTACAATTATGTAAATTTTCACGGTCATGTGCTATACAAAGCTATTATACTTATATGTATGAACGGTATTTATTAATGATGTTCAACCAATCGATTCTTATCATAAAAGATGTTTTCTATCTTTTCATGAATAATTCATTATTATTTGAGTCATTAGATTCAAATAAAGTAGAATTACTGACAATGAGACTGCGTTTGCTTTGATCAGGTTTCTCTCTTGTCACGAAAACCTCTTACCAGCTGTTCAGAATCGGCATTAAATTATAGGTCCTATTATATCTACGGATTATATATGCAGAAGAGTTCACCACGTTTCTGACAGGAGGACTCAGGTAGGGAGAGACTGAATCATTGTGAACAACACATTGTGATAGTTTACAAGTAGATCAAACAGAAAATCATTGCCTATTTATTCTTACCCAGTGTTTTCTTGTTCATTGCTGCAGATGTATAACAAATATGCGTATCAACAAATATGCTTTATTTAATAATATAACTATTCTATTATATTTTTTGACATAGTTAGAATATAGTAGTTAACTAATTTTTCGTTGTTTATTATATAGAAAGGAAAATATTAGATTAACAAGAAAAAACATATCTATAGATAAAATTTTAATTTAAGCAGATTTGCTGATTGTGTTAATCGCCATTATCATTTGTCATCATTTTTTAAACACTGTGAGCGTGAATCGGGTTGTGGTCTTATAAATAGATCATAGATAAAGATCATGTTCACACTCAAAGTCACGTATGGAATATATTTGATTGTAATAATAAATAAGTTCAATTATTTTGCTGTACATACGATTCACATACATATTGATTTATTACGTCGAAACCCCGGGAAATAATTTTATTTCTTAAGAGAGTTGGAAGGAGTCCCGTGTGGAAACAAGATGGGATTCGGAGAGGAGGGAGTATGGAAGAACGTAACTAGATAGTCTATCTCGCAGATACACACAGAGGTGCTGATGCAAATTGAAAGTAGGGCTGTTATTACCTATTTCGAACATTAGAAGATTCGAAGTTTTGAAAAATACATTAAAAATTTGAATTTTCTTAATTGGATTGTTTTATTGTTTATTATCTTTCTTTATTTACACATATATCAAGTTAAATTAATAATTTGTAATATTTCAGGTTATAATACTTTAAAATTTTTTAAGAATAATTTCGTATATGTATTAATTTTTTTTATTTACAATATTTGTAAATTTTCTGAATAAATTTATTATTTGCACTGCATTTTTCGAAACTTTGAAGCTTCGAAAGAATTCGAAAGATTTTAATGCCAAAGCTTCGAATCTTCGAAGTTTCGAAGTTCGAATGTCGAAGCCTTTGAAGCAAATCACCAGCCCTAGTCGAAAGCGCTTTTGCGCTTTTGCAAAAGTTCGAAAAACAGTCAACGCTATGAGAAGGGCGCTACATTTCACGAACTAGCGCGATCGTCGCGTCGGTCCTGTTTTGGGTCAAGGAACTTAATCCCTAGACTCAGGATCGAACCAAGCGCGTTTCTTACATAGATAAGCAAAGGTGAGGTCTTTTCAAGAAATAGAAGTTTTAATTTTAAACTCATAATATATTCTTAAGAATAAAAAGAAAATACAAATTTTATGAGTGACCGATACAAATAAAGATGTTAGTTTCATAATAAGATTGAACCAGGTTAATAGAACCAGGTTGTCCCGGCCGATCGATACCGACCGGGTGTGATTCATGATCTCAGATCAATAGAGACGCCAGGCGCCTCTGATCGCGCTAGGCGTGTAAACTATCATAGAGGGCGCTAGGAAAAGCGGGCGGAAGAGGAGATTTTTCGGTGTATCCCTCCGCGTAAAGTAGTCGTAATAAAGAAGTCGTTTACGACAGTACGCTGTGACAAGTCTCTGCATAGTTTTTTCCCGGCATTCATCCCACTTCAGTTATATACGATATAACATTCTGGCGACCGTGACAGGACGATGGATGCCATCAAGAAGCAGAGGAAAATTTTACGAACGGCCTTCACGAGAGCACTCAATGCTTTCTCGACGACGATGGACAGTGATTGTTCGAGAGACGACAAGATGGTGGCCTTCCAGTTTCTGGAAACGAAGATGACGGAATTAGATACCGTGCATGCAACGTACAGTAACGCGCTCTTCCAATCGAATTTAGACGAAGAGGCTATTGCCAAGGAATTGGAAGTAGACGACGTCTACAAGACACAGTATCTTACAGCGAAGATGAGGGTAACGGCATTACTGTCTGCGACACCGGACGGCGGTTCGAGGACGACGATCGCTAATACCACCAAGACATCGAAATTTCCTAAGCTGGAATTACCGAAATTTAGCGGTAATATTAAGGAGTGGCTTCCGTTTTGGAGTCAATTCAAAAAGATAAACGACGATCCATCGATCAGTAACGAAGATAAGTTTCAATACTTGCTGCAGGCTACTATCCCGGATTCCCGAGCAAGTGAGCTGGTGAAAAGTTTCCCGCCTACCGGCGAAAATTACGGAAAGGCAATCGCGAGTCTCAAAAATCGGTTCGGACGAGACGACATTGTGGTAGAATTTTACGTCCGTGAGCTGCTGGGTCTCGTGTTGCAAAACGCGGTAAAAGGGAATAAGAAGACATCGCTTTCGAGCATATTTGACAAGATCGAGTGCTATATTCGGGCATTAGAAACGCTTGGCGTGACAACGGATAAATGCGCGGCCATGCTTTATCCGTTGGTCGAGTCGACTCTCCCGGAAGAGGTCCTACGAGCATGGCAACGCAGTGGACAACGAGGAACGACGGAAGTCAATGGACAACGCGAGACGATGGATCGGCTGGCCAAGTTGCTGAAATTTTTGCAAGTGGAAGTCGACAATGAGGAACGCATCGACATGGCGTTGACCGGATTCGGGCTGTCGGCGGATGCAGAAAAGGCGAGGAAACAAAAGAACAAATCGGAGACCTTGAAGGAAACGGCGAGCGCTAGCGTTTTTCTTGTTTCGAAAGAACAAAAGAAACCGGTCTGTATTTTTTGTAAAGCGAATCACGAAAGCTCGAATTGCGAGGAAGCACGTAAGTTAACTTTGAATGAACGTAAAGAGATTGTCAAAAGAGAAAATGGTTGTTTTAACTGTCTAATTCGGGGTCACGCGGCACTAAGATGCAGAAGTAGACTGAAATGCGATTGGTGTTCGAAGCGTCATGTCTTGTTAATGTGCCCGACCATAACTCGTGATGAAAGCGCTCCCGCGAACAAAGTAGAGGATAACAAGAAAACAGTCGAGGAGTCAAATCTAGTGACATTTTGCGAAAGACACGAGGTTTATTTGCAGACTCTTCGAGTAAAATTGTATTCCGCGTCACGAGAAAAGATTGTAAGAGCAGTTATAGACACAGCCTCACAACGTTCATATATCCGCACCGAGGTCGCGAAAGAGTTAGGGTATGCTTCTCGCGGAGAATTGGAAGTCACGCACTCACTGTTTGGTGGGGCTAAATCAGAAGTCGAGAAGCATAACATGTTTTTGATACGTATGAGAAGTCTAGACGGTTCTTATGCTTGTAACTTCTCCGCTATGAACCAAGACATTATTTGCGGCACTATTTCCGGTATTAAAATCGATACGTGGGTCAACGAATTACGTGATAAGAATATTAATTTGACTGATATTGGAGGTGGAATTAATCCCATAGATGTTCTTATCGGTGCGGATATAGCAGGCAAATTAATGACTGGTCGAAAATATAATCTGAAAAATGGACTAACAGCTTTTGAAACTCTCGTAGGTTGGACTGTAATGGGAAAATTGCCAGTGGTATCGCAAAGAGATGACACGGCGACGATGATTGCGACGCTTTTTGTGCAGGAGGCTGATCCATCCGATCTATGGCGTTTAGACGTTATAGGTATCACCGATCCCATCGGTAAAGCAGATAAAGTGGTAAGAGACGAACAAGTCCGAGAGTCTCTAAGAGAAACCATTAAGTTGAACGACTATGGTCGGTACGAAGTTAAATTGCCGTGGGTAAACGATCACGTACCTGTCTCAAGCAACTACGATATCGCGCGCAATAGATTACAAAGATGTGTTCAAAAGCTCAAAGCCCAAGATTTGTTCGATGCCTATAATAACGTTTTTCAGGAGTGGTTGCTGGAGGGCGTGGTGGAAAGAGTACCCGACAGCGAGCTTAACAATTTAGGACACTATTTGCCACATCGACCAGTAGTAAAGACACATGGCACAACGAAAATAAGGCCGGTATTTGACGCTTCAGCGTGCAGAAAGGGTTACCCGTCCTTGAATCAATGTTTGGAAACGGGTCCCAACCTGATTGAACTAGTGCCATCTTCTTTAAACAAATTCAGAGAGAGGGAGATTGGTATTGTGTCCGACATTAAAAAAGCGTTTTTGCAAATATCTGTACACGAAAATGATAGAGATTATCTTCGCTTCCTTTGGATGAGAGATAATGAAATAGTAATTTTTCGGCATTGTCGAGTCGTTTTCGGTTTGGCATGTAGTCCCTTTTTATTAGCGGCTATTCTGGAGTTTCATCTCTCGACTTACACGGAAAACGCAGAACAGACAAGGAATACAGTACAGAGATTGAAAGGCGCATTTTACGTAGATAATTGCGTGACAAGCGTAGACTCTAAGAAGGAAGCGGAGAGCTTTGTGCGAGAAGCCACGTCTATTTTAGCAGCGGGCGGTTTTGAATTGCGTGGATGGGAGAGCTCAGGGGATTCGAAAGAAAATGAGACAAGTTTAGTGTTGGGTCTTTTATGGAATAAAATGGAGGACACAATATCGATCAATCCGTCGATTAAGCATAAATGAGCCTAATCTTATTACCAAACGAGCAATCTTATCCGCGACTCACAAGGTTTTCGATCCTATCGGTTTCACGTGCCCTGTGTCTTTGCTATCCAAGTTACTTCTTAAGGAATTGTGGGAAGAAAAAATAGATTGGGATGCGAAGATTGAAGATAAGCGTAGTGATCAATTTAGGCACTGGTTAAATGACTTACCTACGTTGAATCAAATCAGAATTCCACGAAAACTCGGTGAGGGAAATTTAACGCTACACACGTTCAGTGACGCGAGTGGTTCAGCTTATGCCGCGGTAGTCTTTGCTCGGGTCGAGAAGGGAAATAATGTGAGTGTTAGACTTTTAAGTGCTAAGTCACGTATAGCTCCCCAAAAGACTACAATTCCTCGTCTCGAATTAATGGCGGCCACTATAGCTGTTAGACTCACAATTTCAGTAACAAAATCCTTAACGCGTATTGTTTCAAAAACAACATTCTGGTCTGATTCAACTACAGTTTTAGCTTGGATCAAACGCGATACACAATGGGGCACATTCGTCTGGAACAGAGTAAAAGAAATCCGCTTTCTTAGCGAGCAAAAGGACTGGAGATTTATACCGGGGGAATTAAATTACCGCGGATCTTCCTTCGCGAGGTTGTAGTCCGTCGCAATTAGTGCAGTCTGAATGGTGGTTAGGCCCGAAATGGCTTTATGAGAGTGAACCTAACTGGCCCATGATAGAAAA